ATACCGTTCAATGAACTGAATATTGTTAGATAAGTTTATTCGATTCTATTATATTGGACATAATATTATATTGTTATTAGATTAATGTCGTATGTATAATCTATGTCGATGGCACTTAATGAAAATATAAACAATTGAATAACGACCCACCGATCATAAGACAGGCTGTTGATGTCCAATAATAAGAATTATTTGATGTTTCGATGTTTTGATTTGTTATTAATTTAGTTAGGGAGATTTTTTTTTGATAATTGTAACAAAACCTGTGTCGCCGACACTACTACCATCCTCTTTTTTATAGCTTTCTTTTAAATTGTTTTGTGACATATCAAACAAAAAATATTAAAAAAGATGAAAACTGAACGCATTATCATTCCTACACATTTTTTTTATCTAAAACCACCGGACATAGAAGGATATAGTAGACCAAATTCATCAATCCTTGTCTAAATTCTGGTTATTTTTTCTTTAGTTTTTATTGAAACAGAATACTTAGTCTATTTTTACTTATATTTGGTATATGTTATGAAATTTAACCACTAGAGGTAGAGTTTGTATTAAAGTCGTTTGCTTGGGTACTAGTTCAAAGTGCTTTACTATGACAGCTTCAAAGTCTACGCTTTCAACAATCATGGGAAATATGGCAATAATGGCAAATAAGCTAACGTTTCACCTGATAAAAAGGATATGACCAGCATCATGGACATCACTGAATACAGTGTTACAACCATGGTATCCCTCATGCGTTCCTTTTTCTTAGAACTATGGTGTTATGCCTTCGTATCTCGTAAATTCAGTGCCATATACCATTCTTCAAACTAACATACTGCCATGTAAAAACAGTTGTATCGTACAGAACACACACACCTGCAATGCCGTTGGTATTGTGGGTGACCATGGGCGGCGGTAGTCACTTACCATCAGGTGAGCCGCATGCTCGTTTGCCCCCTGTGTTGTAAATAAAAAAAAACACGAGAGGGACAGCGACACCCCAACAGAGCACTTTCATATAAAGTCATCCTTTGGTGTATAATCTAAAGGTGTAATGTTAAAGATCAAATAGATGTTTCTCATTTCCCATCAGGTGGGCCATTAGATACTTTTTCCTTTAAAATTATATAAAAAAACGAAATAAAAATTTTGAAATTTATTATTATAAAGTTTTGACATTTTACCAAGGATCGCCATAAATCCCTATTATCATATTATCGTTAAATCAAGCGGGCTATTGTAAAACTATGTGCCGATAAATACGTCCCCAGTGAGGACGGCCCTTTAATCCACAATGTCTAGGGCTGAAACAATTTTGATATCCACTTTTACGATGTGCTATAAAACTGAAAGTAAAATCTGTAATACAATGCATATAAGTAGTACATCATTGTATATTATATTTTGTCATTGAGTACAATATTCAATTTTCAACCAATTTCAAAACAAAAAGGTTCTCTTTACGGTCGTATTTTTTTTTTATATTTGTTACTCTATAACTCTGTTAGTAGTAAACGGATTTAAAAAAAAACCTTTTTTTATCTGAAAAGATATACTAATACATTGGTCTCTTAGAAATTTTATCAAAGTTGGTTCAGTTTTAAATTTTAGATCAAATAGAATTGAAGATAACTGGTTTTGTCTCAATTGAAATAGTTTTTTTTGTGAGACATAATCTTTAATTATTTGCTCGTTTACAAAATAGTGAAACATATATAATATACAAGAATATTTTACAAGGAAAAATATAGTGACAATGATAGATGTCTTTGTAGACTAAGTAATATATCCAATGTAAGTATTCTAAATATTCGAATTTAAAATGCAGTATCATGTGTCTACAAGAATGTCAGTGCTTCGCAACGACTTCTTTGCTTCTCAAATATAAATATTAGTAATATATAGGTATAATAGGATCATCATCAATCACATTAGTTGTTAATTGTCCACTGTTGTACATAGACCTCACATAATCCATATTGTGGCAGGCCTATGTTCTTTAATGCATGATAATGGAATGGTAACCCGCCTGTGTTAACGGTATACGCTGGAGGGGCACCAGTGAGGAGTGATAGGGGAGAATGAATAGGCAGATCAGTTAGCCCATCATGATGAACACATTTTGAATTCGACACGATGATTTCCAGGGGGGACCACGTGGAGGTCGACCTAACCTATATTACCAGTAATGGAGCTGCTAGTCCAATTATAGTAGTAGTGTAATAATAATAATGGAAATACTTTTGAATTATTAAAAAAAAAAATATATTTACTAATTATATATATTATGAACGTGACGTTGAATTTGTTTGTTTGTCGCCTTTTTTACGTCTAATTTTACTCAACCATCACGACTTGATATTGAAAATAAAAATAGTTAAATCAATCTTAAATGATACCGTAATAAACAACATTTGATTTTTATTTATATACATAATACAAGATACTTAACAGAGTACATGGACAATTTACCTATCAATTTGTTAACGGAAATACGATTGATACGAATGAACGCCTTCTTGAAAATTCTCAAAGCGGCGTAAAATTTTAATGAGAATAAAAAAAAATCGCTTCATTGCTCTTTATTCATAAGTCGAATAATTCTGTTACATTTTTATTCATTATTATCATCATTATCATCATCGTCAGCCGTTATCTGTCCACTGCTGAACATAGGCCTCCCTTATTTGAAGGAAGTTTTGCTAGTAGTTGCCACGCTTGGCAGGCGGGTTGGTAACAGCAGTCAGGCATGTCATTTTATATTATTACTAAACGTTCCAATAATAAGGACTAATGTTGTGTGTTTACTTTGTACTTACTTATGTAGTTGCAAACTAGTCTAAACTATATAAAGTTACCTGTTTTACTAATTATATCATATACTTGCCTGTTAACTTAACTACCTGTATCGTTACATCAAAGAACATAAGTAAACTAATTGTTTAATTGATTGTCGTTGGGGCAATTTGGTCAATTAACTGTTATTTACGTTAAATCATTAATTTAACATAAATAACGCCATCTAGTAGCAAATTAATCAGTGCTTATATTATAGGTAGTTGTTAAATATGATTTTTTTTTAAATAAATATGTATTTTATATAGACAGTTTTCAGAACAAATATACAGACATAATATGCTATTTAGAAATGATTTACGAGTAATTAGTTTTCCTACTTCTAAAGTCCATACAAAGTAGCAGGCAAGAAGGTAGTAATATTAAAATTTCAAGTGCCAAAGATTTGTATAAAAATATGATTAATATGCAAATCTATGGTATTTTGAATTATCTGTTAATTAATATATCGATATCCGATTAATTTTTATACGAATAGTAATATGAGAGATTTTGTTTTACAAAAATAAAAAGACAAGAACTTTTTTGAGATAAATAATAAATTAAAAAAAAAGAATATTACAATAAATAATACGTCAGCTCTAATTTAGTTATTCATGTATGGCGAATAAAAATATTTTATATTGATAAAACAGCATATTATTATTCTCACGTTACTATGAATTCTATTAGGAGAACAAATGTAGCAGTGTATGTTTATTTAGGAGCATTTACAATAAACAAATCAAACGTTCGTAGAAAAAAAAATGTGTAAACATCATTACAAAATAATGTTTACACGTACAAAATACACGTCTCTTGGGATTTGTTTTATGCAAATTATTCGCTATATAGTTTTAATCATTTTATATATGGCTTAATTATATATAATTGATAGTTGTAATTTATAAAATATGTTTTAGTGATTTATATATATATATATATATATATATATATATATATATATATATATATATATATATATTATAAGGAATGTATTTTTATTAGTAATTTAATTTAATATATATTTCCGAAAATAAAAGGATATATATATTACAGATTGAGTCCCACAATAAAATCGACTTCAATCATGATAAAACCAGTTATTTTGATGTAAAAATGAAATTGCTGAGCCGATTTTGAAAACAAATCTATGAGATTAATATGTAACTATATCCTTTCAGATAAAAAATAATTTTCAAAATCGGGAACTGATGGAGTTATGAGATAACAAACAAAAATAAAACAATACATTCGAATTGAGTCTTCGATCTTCTTCGATTTAGTATGGAAGGCTCAAAACATTCAGACATATATATATATATATATATATATATATATATATATATATATATATATATATATATATATATATATATATATATATATATATATATATATATATATATATATTATTGTTATCTACATATATTGAGAACTTTTAAGCTTATCTTGAAAGTGTCCAAGATATCTAAGCTATATCAATCTAGCCTGTAACTCAAATTTTAGAGCTAAACACTTTTGAACAGGTTAAGAATTTTATTTTGAACAGGTTAAGAATATTAATTTGTATTAGAAAACAAATATACTCAAACAAACAGAAAAGTAATTTAGATAGTATCTTGGATTAGTGCTCTATTAACACGACTTAAAGAGCTCAGAGACTGTCAATTTGGTTTGTACGAAAATCATTGTATCAATTTCGAATTTTCAAATAATATCTCGATTATTACATTCTTTATAAAAAAAAATTGTCAATTAAGCTGTTAATTACCTGAATTAGGATAATAGTCGTGAGAATATATTTTTTTGAACATCGAAAATGGGTCGGCAATGCACGCATAATACCTCTGGTATTGCAGGTGTTTATAGGCTACGGTAACCACTTACCATCAAGTGGGCCGTATGTTTATTTGCCACCTCAGTGGTATAAAAAAAAAAGAAAACAATACATAAGTTTTTATGAATCAATATAATCATTTCAGCCATTATCCGATCAATGCTGAACATAGGCTTCCTCAATAGAAGTTTCTATGAATATGTTTTATTTAATTAAAATTGTTCATTGGTAACAATATGCGGGTAGATCACAAGCCGTATGAAACGTCTAATGACTCTGTCGTCCAGAATAAAAGTTTACTAAAGAGATATACAGTGTACCTGTTTCTTTTCAGCCGGAGTTATACAAAAACGAATTGGTCCGTCAGTCGTCTACCGATAGCGCCGAGCTGGAGTTTTGTGGGAAATTACACTTCGCTTTGAAATACGACCAGGAAGTTGAGGCCCTTGTTGTGAAGGTAACTGAGTTTATTTCCGATAACATCTACTGTGTGCCTGCTGTGTTTAGTCAAAATAAATCGTTGCATTACTTTTTTATTTATCCAACAACATCTAATGTTAATCTTTTCATATTCATCTAATATCTTCTAATCTAATATTATCTAATAGTTTGAACAACATCCTTTTTTACAACGTGACCGAATACCTAAACACCAATATTAAATTATAACACGATTATTTATTTATGTTTAACTGTAAGAAGTGTGACAATTCCAATTTCATAAATTGAAGTCATCATTATTGGTATATGGTCACCATTATGTTGACATGTATTGACTAATTTATAATTTTAACTATAATTCATTTGTAATTTTATTTTTATTTTATAATTTAAATCTTATTGTTATTATTTATTTTAATAATTTCAAAATTATAATGTAAATATTGACATGCCATTGTGTGACGAAAACTGTTACATTGGTTAATAAAGAAATATGAATAATATATAAAATTCTCGTGTCGCGGTGTTTGTTACCAAACTCCTCCGAAACAACTTTACCGATTTTTATGAAATTATGTGTGCATATCGAGTAGATCTAAGAATCGGCCAACATCTATTTTTCATACCCCTCAATCATAAGGGTGACCCAACTCTAAATATTTTTTTAAAAATTTTTTGACAAAATTTTTTATTTTTTTTTGTTATAATTTAGTGTTGAAAGATACATACAAATTAAAATTTTCATGCTTTTACAATCAACCCCTGTTTTTTAATCGCGATTTTTATATGCAGCAATAGGGTTGCAAGATGGCAATCGAATATAATAATTGTAGTACGAGAAAATATCATGCATAGTTCTCGAAATAATGTATATGTAGTGGTATAATGAATTTCACTAGTTAATAATGTAATAAAATACAAAACGTAAGAAAAATGTACTCATTTTGGTTTTAATTAAATTTAATCATAAAGCATATATTAAGCAACTAATTTACATTTGGCGCTTTTATTAATCGCGCTACTTCCACCACTGTCTACCTAGATGAGAAAGCTTCGTGCGAAATATTATACACCTGTGCCAGTTCTGTACCACTTAAAGTTTGTTGACCTCGGATTAAGATATAGGTCTCAATTTGCCGTTTTACGGCTTCCAACAAAATGTCTCTAAGAGTTTCAACGACGTTCAAGTCCCGAGAGGTTGTTAAAGTTAATCAAGTCTTTGTGCGTATGGCTTTCTAAAGGTTTTCCGATATAACTGCAGAAAGTGTAAAATTAAAATTGTTTTAAATGAGTGGGAATTAAAATAAAAACTGTTTTTGTGTAATAAACATATATATTATATATTCAGATTTTTTTTATGCATCTTAGAATAATAAACAAGCTGATAGCCCACCTGATGGAAAGTGGTAACTGTCGCCAATAGACAAGAGCAGTACCATGGACATAACAGAGTATACTGTTTCGCATCTGTAAAGTATCTTAAAAATATCAGACATAATTTTACTTGATTAAATTTTGAATTATCTAAGGAGATGTCAGACATACATTATAGACTTTAAATCCATTCAAATTTACATTATTATTTGTGTTATTACAGAATTCAGTTTTATTTTTAATTTGCATATTTTTATTATTACTTACTATTTATTACATTAGAAGAAAGGGGCGTCCAAAAATAAGATGGATAGACGACATCCGTCAAACCTTGGGGCCTTACTGGAGTAGAGTGGCGGAGGATAGAGTTCAGTGGAGAGAGCTTGAGGAGGCCTATGCCAAGAGGCACACTGAATTGAGAGATATAATAAAGGGAAAATATGTCTTACTAGGGTTATAGTGAATTCGGAGTAAAAGGTCATATATATATATATATATATATATATATATATATATATATATATATTATTACTTAGTATTAAACACAACAAGTATTTTACTTCATATTAAAAATGAGTTGAAAATTTGTAGTTACATTTGAATTTGATTTTAATTAAGATAAAATTCAATATGGCATGATAATATTTGTTTAGTTTAGGACACATGACACTGTATAAATATAAAACATTTTTTTCGAAATTTAAGAAAGCAACCGAAATATAGCTAAATTAATTTATACTTTTAAATGACATTTCATATTCCCTGTTTTCAATAAACTTCGAATAAAATTTGCAAAATATATTCCAATTGAAATATCATTAATTGGTATGTTATGAATTATTAATTTGTCATTTTATTATGCTTCGGTTTATTGATTTTATAATACCATCGTCAACGTAAATAATGTATCTAATAAAAATAAATATTTCATTAAAATTGCTTCGTAAGATTATTGATATATTGGAGTGATAACCATGAAATTATTGTGCTGTAACATACCATCATTAATAATATTGTCGTTATACATATTGTATTTAATATAGTTATATTATTAACTAGAAAAAGTACAAAATATATACTTAATAATCTGTGATAATATAATCATCGTCATAACTTTAATATGTCTATTCTATTGAGTCGAAACTATGTTTTTATATATATATATATATATATATATATATATATATATATATATATATATATATATATATATATATATATATATATATATATATATATATATATATATATATATATATATATATATATATATATATATGACTTACTAATAAAGTTTTAACTTCATCATTAAGGATTCTTATCTCTAGATTTTAACTTTTACTAAGGAACTTACTTCTTAGTGCTGCAATAACTCATCTTAGTTTTATACTATTAAAGTTTTGATTTTATCTGGATCATCTTTATTGAAATTTTAACTCACTTGTTTTAGATCTTCGAAGCCCGGGATTTGCCAATCAAAGATGTGACGGGCAGCAGTGATCCGTATATCAAAGTGTTCCTGCTTCCAGATCGCAAAAAGAAATTCCAGACGAAAGTCCATCGCAAGAACTTGAATCCCGTGTTTAATGAAACCTTCCTTTTCAGGTAAACATTTACATTATATACATATTATGAATTAAACTTATAGATGTAATATTATTTAAATTTTCAATAGATTGAGCATTCAGAACATAGAGTACTATATTATAATGGTAGAGTAATATATAATTGAGAGCGGTGTTTCCCAACGTGGGGCCCACGTCCCACAAGGGGTTGATAATGATGATCAAGTGGGGCATGGCACAAAAAAGGTTGGGAAACACTGATCTAGAGAGTGATGAATCTGAATGGAAACTTTTTCTATGGTTTTAGTAATTTGTACTAAAACCATAGAAAAAGTTTCCATATATATATGGAAATAACCTATAAATATATGAAGTTTTCTTTATCTGATCAAATATAATGACTATCTTCAGTATTATTATTCGATAATCAGTTACGTGATGAGGTAATTAAAATATTTTTTTTTATATCAGTAGACAGATAGATAGATAGATGATACTCTTTATTGTTCCTTCAAAAAGATTACAGCAGTAAACTTATTCTAGATATAAACAATTACAAGAAATAATCACAATGAGAAAACAATGGACGACCTCATCGCTAAAAGCGATCTCTTCCAGGCAACTTTTCGATGGAAAGGTTGCCTGGTATATACACTTAATGATTAAAAAAAATAATCGTCCAGAAAATCATCGTCATCATCAGTTGCTTAAAACTGTAGTAATTCCATGTGAGATAGTCTACTAGAAACTTGAGTACTGCATTCTTACAGCAAAATTACTGTCTAGCTCTCTGTTCTACGTTCAATGACCTAATCCACTTAGTTTTTGCAAGTACACCTGATGTTTTATAATATTCAATACAATAATGAACATCAGTTATGTACTTATTACTATAATTCTCTATAAGATAATAATAATGTAATAATAAAGTTTATTCTTTTCACAATACCAGTTGTACATCTATTATATTCTAATATATTTATTTTCATAAGAGAACACGATGTAAATATATCTCTCAGTATTAACTTTAAATTTGCTTAAAAAAAGCTGTATCTTTAATCATGAGGAAATTAATATGTATATGTATGTATACACAGGAGTAAACCTTATTTATTTTGAAAAGAATTCTCAAACGTAGCTCAGAATTAGCTAAGATATTGGGTATTATGTAATAAAATACAGGTAAATTAATATCTTATTATTGTAAACAACATATAGTTCGTCTGATAGTAAACGGTCATTGTAAGCTAAGGATGCTTGCAACACAAGGAATATCACGTGCGTGTAGCCGAACTTTTAAAAATCTTAATACATTTTTCTTAATGAACGCCATACTGTAGTCTCTAGGCAAAACCTTGACAGGGAATTCATACTATAGCCTACACGTATGCGGGAGAAAACTCTTCTGAAATCGTACTTTTAGATTCTAACGTGAATTGTAATAGTCTATTAGCTTATTGGCACAGCTATGAACTGTGATTATGAATAAGGGCTTTTATGCATGATGATGCAGGTGTCACAGAACCGTTCTTTGTGGCAGTCTATGGGGGAGGCTTATGTCCAGCAGTGGACGGACTGAAATGATGATGATGATGAAGGGCTCTTATAGAGTCCGAACTATATATATATTTTTATACAACTTAGAATGGCAAACAAGCTGACGGCCCACCTGATGGAAAGTGGTAACCGTCGCCTATAGACATGAGCAGTACCATGGACATAACAGAGTATACTGTTTTCGACCATGATACCCCCATGCGTTGCCATTCCCGAGGACTTAGGTGTTATTTCTCTTCTCTTCCTTCCTATACCCAGTAAATTCACGCCATATCCCACCCTTCAAACCGAAACACAGCCATGCAAACACTTGTGCTTCACGGTAGAAACACGAATGGGACAGAGGTACCCAAGCAATCGACTTTTGTACAAAGTCTCCCTCTGATTAATTATTGAACGTAAATTCGATATTAATTATTATAACCCCGCAATAGTTATTATTAAAAAAAACTTTCTGGATATCATTTAATAATAACATTAGTATCTATTATTACAGGCTACAATAGCTTAATTTGTTAGTAACATAATCTTAGTCTAATGTTAGTACATCTTACAATAAAGTAAATAAAAAAAAAAGAAATAGCATAAAAAATTTGGCCACCGCTGAAGCATCCCATTTGAGATATCTCAATTGTGTCCAATGTGGGAGCAGTCTAAGCTGTTTGCAATCATATTCAGGATGTCGTTGGTGCTACCCCTTACCTTACGCACCAGTGTCATCAAAGCAATATACGCGGGCTTCTGCAAACATCTCTGATGCACTACGATATCGTAGCAATCTCAAAAGCATTCTGAATGCATTATTATATTAAATTCGAATGTCGCTATAAGATTTTTGGGTATACCTAGCCCACAGAGTGTTTAATAATTATATTATCATGAAAATTGAATATTTTGGCTTCACTTCTGGTAACTATGACTACTTTAATTTGAAAACGATTGAAGTGGCCTCAGTACTTTGAAATAATCGACGCTTGTTTATCATTGCTTAAGGAAAATTAGATTATCGAAACCGATGGATGGAATGTTATCTGTTAATTTAATTAAACCTGAACTTTTCAAATGAAATTAATTAGATTCAGTCGCCTAGAAACGTTAATGGACTTCGTTATTCTAGTGGAGTAGACAGTTATTAGTAATAAAGTAAAAAAAAGTAATAGTTGTAATCAATATACTTATTTATACCCTCATATTTGGGGGGGAAAGGGATTGTTAGTAATGGAGACTGAAAATCCCATTGCTAGCAATATACCCAACCAGGTCGACCTTCTCGCGGTTCCCCCTGGAAACTATCATGGTTAATTCCTGATGAATTCATCATGATGGGCTAACTGGCCTGTTTTCATTCTCATCTATCACCCTTCACTGGTGCTCCGTCAGCGTATCCCGTTAGCGCAAAAAAAAGCCCTCATATTTGTTGTCTCATCATCGAAGGGCTTGTGTAAGAAGTCTTGAAATATAAAAAAAAAAAAAAGATAATAAAATCTATTATGAGTCTATGAACCTTAAAAGTGTTACAAACATACATTTTGTATTTTATAATGATTGGTTGAAATGTTAAATAGGTAAGAGGTAACTAATAGTAGTTAAATATACTTTTTTTCTTGTTAATTAAAAATACGTATCGAACAAATAGAGCGAGTTTATTCGTACATGTATGTTTTACATTCTTCCTACTTTATTTCACATATTATGACGAATTTACAACTGGTCTTTTTTTAATGGATGATATTGGAATGGTAACCTCGCTTACGCTAACGGTACGCTGGCGGGGCACCAGTGAGGGATAATAGGTGAGAATGAAAAGGCAAGTCAGTTAGCCCATCGTGACGAACACACATGGAATTTTCCCTGGTAACCATTATGCTAAATTCCAGGGTCCATGTGAAGGTCGACCTAGCAATATACCCTATATTGCTAGCAATGGGACTGGTAGTCCGCATTACTAACAAGCCCCTTCTCCCCCACTTACAACTGGTCAGGTTTTTCAAAGATATTTTTTTTTACTAAATAATTTATATCTAATGAAAGCACGTTTCGTTGTTTTAATTAAAAATAAACAATGTAAAGTTTTCTATTGAAAAGAGAACAGAAACTAATTTGAAATTTAAACATATAAATGAAGTGAATTGTCACTAGAGAGTCTTCAGAAGCACTAGGTAAAGTGAGTTCACGGACCCCAAGAGAACGGACCCAACTGAGAGCGTAAAAGCTTAGAATAACTTACCGTAATGTTCCATCCTCACTTACATTGGGCGCTGAGTTTGTATTCATTTCCTCAATACATTCACCTTTTTCTTTTTATACGAGGGATTTTCTTTATCTATATTACCATAAAGCTCGCTGATACCGCAAATGTGAAAGTAAGTTTGTTCGTTTATGAGTTTGTTATAACAGTTCCACATGTTTTAATTAAATTTGAAAATCCATATAGATTACTTTTCTCAATATATTAGATTTTTCTTCTTTATCTAAGGGATTTATTTTATCTTACTTTTATACTTTTATACAAATAATGAGGAAAAAATATATAAAGAGGACAGATTTGATTGTTTGTTTAAAATGAATAAACCGATTTTAAAAATTCTTGCGCCTATTGTAAGCTACTGTATCAGTGAATATTATAGGCTATATATTATTTTCGAAAAATCTGTCTACCCGTGTGAAATCGGACCGGATATCTATTCATAAATTTATAAGTATGGTTATCTGTTAGTTTATTTATGTAATTTTTATCGCGGTTTATAAATATGCCTTGAAATAACAAATAAACGTAAATGCCTAAACTATAAACTATTAGTTACTAATATTATAAATGTGGAAGTTATTTTGTTCGTTTGTTCCCTCTTAGCGCCTTAACGGCTTAACTGTGAAATTTTGTATACATGCACTATATGGGACGGAAATGGATATATGGTAGATTATTTTTGATTCTGATCAGTTTACATATTCCGGTCACGTGGACGAAGTCGTGGGTGAAAGCAAGTGATAATATAAGTGCAATACATCAGTGCAATTCCTCTCGTTTTAATACTCTATACCAGACCACCTGGCCAGAATTTAGTAGGCTATATACTCCTCTTATAGGGAGAGGTCAATTCTCAGTAGTGAAACCTTAATGTCAACATTCAACTATGTTTTGATTCGTTAGCACGGATCAACAACTTCATCGAAGTTGATTAAATCCTATTCTTTTAATTATATTATTATGTATGTATGCATTGGTGGATGTTTGTTCTATTCCACAGAAAAACTATTGAATGGATTTGAATGAAATTTGATACAAAGATAGGTAATATCCTAGCTTAGAACATACGATACTTTGTATAGTGAAGTGAAGCTGCTAGATACAGCTAGTATTGTAAATATGAAAGCATATAAAGATGTTTTTATATTTGTTACTCAATCATGCTTAAACGACTGAATGATTTTGAAAGAAATTTTTTTCACCAGTTGGTTATGTTATACTCTAATGTAACACATAGGATACTTTATATACCTACTGATTCATGCAGGTATCGTCGTAGGAAACAACTAGTTTATTATAAGAATGTCTTAAATCATGAAGAAATTAATTTACTTATAATAACACTCAAGAAAATAGAATAAGGTAAGCAAAGCCGCAAGAAAAATTTAGTTTAAAATCATATTTGAAAGTCAACGAATTGTGGGCGTAATATAAGATGCAAAGGGTTAAGAATTCCGGCTAAATGTACGGAAATATGGACAAAGGGATGTCTACTAGAAACTAGCTTTTATACACGACTTTATTTGTGTAGAATTAGTACCTACTTTGTAGAATGTGGGTTGGCAATTCCAGTTATACGGGAACACGGACAAAGGAATGTTGACCTTTTGACCTTTAGTCCTATATTCAGAAGTCTATAGATGCAAGCCGAAATGAGGATACATCAAATGTTTATTAACAGGTCTCACTTGCTAATTTCTTTATATTTGTACAACTAGCGGCCCGTTCCGGCTTCGCACGGGTGGACATTTTTACAACATTTTAAATAGTGGTCATTGTGACATAACGATAATAGTTGGACATATAGTATCACAAAGTTTTTTGTAGTTATTGATATTTTCTTCAATATTTTTGAACATACTTTTGTTCTAACACCAAGAGGATATTATAGAAAAAAGAATATTATCTATTATGACAAAGTTAACATTTTACTATTTTTACAGTGTACCATACGAGGAACTTCGCCAGCGATACCTCCAATTCTCCGTATATGACTTCGACCGGTTCAGCCGTCATGATCTGATTGGTCACGTTGTGCTCAAAGGACTCCTGGAGTCGGCTGATCTGCATCAAGAGATTGAGTACACAATGAACATCTTAGCTGCACCACAGGTATGTGGAAAAACTATGAGGGCGCTTACACTATCATCATATTATTTGTTAATTGTCCGCTGACAAACATAAACCTTCTCCGTAATGGGTGTTTTGCCAGTAGTTGCCACGTTTGGCAGACGGATTGGCAATTGCAGTTACGCTTTGGGTATGTTTTAAGAGGGACGCCGCTGCCCATCCCTTGACCATTAAATTGCCTTAGTCGCCTTTTACGACATCTACAGGAAAGGAATGGATGGTCCATTCTAAACCGGGGCCAAAATATATTATTTAGCAATACGCTTACACTATAGTGAAAGTGAATCAAAATCTGTAGCATTCTTAAAAGGATGTGTGCTACCAATGTAACTAAATGTTTTTCGAATAGGCCAAAAAACGACAAAAATGCTGAGATTTTTTTTTATTTGAACAACTGTCTTTTATAACATACCGGGTGACTGAACACCTGATGATAAGTGGTTACCGTTGCTTATAGGCATCTGCAACATAAGAGAAATTGCCGGTGTATCGCTGGCCCTTGAATGCAAATTGTACGCAGTTTTAGTTAAAAGATTCAAAATTTATACATTTTTTAAACTGGCGAAGTTCGTCGATGTGATTTTAGTACGAAAAGTATTATTTGTTATTTTTTTATTTTGTTGTATTATTTATTGTATTATTTGTAATTTTTTGACCTATGTGTCTTTGGTAAAAATCGATCATACTCTGATCGAATATTCTTTTAAAAGTATACTAACAATTTAGACATTATCCTGTAATTGATAAAATTTTTAAATCGTAGAAGCAATTGATATAAAATTGTAGAAAAATTTGCGTTAAAAAATTGCTACTCTAAACCACCAAGGACCCGTAATATACGGGTTGACGAAGGTCCATAGCAGAAATCTGACCCAAAGGGATTTCTAAACGGTCCCCGTGAACGAGGGACGAGAATGCACAATATTGGATCAAGAATGTTGATTAATGACAGGGTTAACTGTTTAGAGTGAAAATGTTACTGAAGTTTCCAACAATACGCGTTCTCGTAGAGCTAAGAGGTTTTCTCAACAGGATTGATTTATACGACCCTCGTGGTATAATGCTGGCACGTGGCTTTGTGTAACAGGATATTACAATCCCGAGTTCACCTTGTACACCTTTTTGAATAGTATTTTTTATATTTTGTGTCAAGGTCGAGTCACGACCTCGAAAGTATAACAGAGAATCGATGGATGCAATAACGTGGGATCATAATGTGAGGTGTGAAATTCGTGGGAAATCTATGTTCAATAGTGGACGATAGATGGGCAATAATGATGATGATGATCAATATGAATAATTATGTCATAATAACTATATTTAGTATTTATTTTATATTTATTTCGTATCATGAATACAGATAACAGTTTCCTATGTGGGGATTTTTAATGAATAAAGACGAAATAGCGCCTATGTTAATGGTATACAATGGCGGGGTATCAATGAATCAGAATGAAACAACGAGGATGAAAACAGGTCCAGGGGGGACTGTGTGTAGGTCGACCTGACAGGGTATATTGCTAACATTACTGATTATCCCTTCCCGTCCTACTACATAGTGTATGTTAGTATTAAAGACATTTTGTCATGCCCTGCAAGAACAAAGCACAATAAGCAGTAAATATTTATATTGTTTTTTTTTTTAGGAAAAAAAAGATCTAGGCGAGTTGATGTTGTCCCTATGTTACTTGCCCACTGCTGGACGGCTCACTGTCACCGTGATCAAGGGTAGAAACCTAAAGGCAATGGATATCAATGGCTCATCAGGTATGCTTTTTAATTTACATCAAAACTAGTTGGTTGCTTTCCGCAGCTTCGCCGGCTCGGAGTTTGTTAATTTATATATTTTTTTTTATTTTTATTTTTTTTATACAACTTAGAATGGCAAACAAGCCGACAGCCCACCTGATGGAAAGTGGTAACCGTCGCCTATAGACAGGAGCAGTAGCATGGACATAACAGAGTATACGGTTTCGCCCATGATACCCCCCATGCGTTGCCATTCCTGAGGACTCAGGTGTTATTCCTCTGTACCCAGTAAATTCACGCCATATCCCACCCTTCAAACTGAAACACAGCCATGGAAACACAACTGCTTCACGGTTAAAACACGAATGAGACAGAGGTACTTTTGTACAAAGTCTCCCTCCTTTTTGTCGGCTAATTGTCAAATTAGCTGACTCGTTTTTTTATTAGTGGTCTATATATTTACGCATAAAATTTATCTAGACGTATTATTAAAAAAAAAATAAGCGTGTACGCATTAAAAACATGCAGAATGTATAAGATAAAATAAATATACAAGTTATAAAGGAATCACTCATAATTGTATGAAAAAGTTAACTCGTTTTTCTCGAAGCATTTCTATGGAGACACTCTATCTATATAATCTAAGGGTTTACAATTTAATTTATTAATGGATTAGCTGTCGCCTGTAACTTTATTCGCATATATTAAGATAAAAGTATCCTTAGTATTAATCTAGTTTGTGGCACATTTGTAAAACAAATTTCATGCAAATGTGTCTGGACGCAGCCGTATAGGCACTCTTAAACGGCCAGCCGTATTTAAATTGTTTGAGTTATTTGAAAATGAGCTTCTCAATTGTATATTTTCTTGTAAAAGGCAACGCATAAGCAGTTCGTCTCGTGTTGCAAGTGTTTATGAGCGACGGTAGCTGCTTCCCATCAGGTAGACCGTCTACTCGTTTGCATCCCTAAGAATAAAAAAAAAGTTACGCCATATGATTCCCAATTTTAACTGATTTTTATAATTATTTTTCTTACAACTATTCCTTACAACATCAAAGTCGGTTTAGTATTTTGGTTTTTAAATCAAAACAGTCTGTTATTTTTTGTGAAACCAAATTTACTTGTAATGTCGATATTTTGTGGAGCAAAAATTTAAATTATTAAAATTATGCATAGAGATATAGAAATGAAAGTTTCACCTTTGAGATAGGGGTACTATTTTAGACTTTGATACGTCGACCGTATAATGTTAAAGGCGGAGTTTGTAAAAAACGGATCCATTGTGTTTAGGGCGTATTGTCGTTTTGTAAAGGAAAAAGATTTTCAGCTTTCAACTCACTGTGCTATTATGTTTTTCGAGAAAGTAGACAAGAAAGAATTTAATATAAAAAAAATCTGTTATATTGTAAATTCTTTTAACCAAAATGTACGCAACGTGAATATATAATTTATATTGTTTTAAACGTAAAAAATGTAAGGTTACAATTAAATCAATGACACTGTCCATTTTATAATAAAAAAAATGAGGCACTCCGCTTTGCACACATGGAATAGTTCTCGTGGGAGTTTTGAAAAACTTTATTATATAATATTAGCTGTTACTATAGTATAAAATGAGTAGAATTAATATTATTCGATAGACAGATATACACTGAGCTCGAGTCTGAGGCGTTATTTAAATTTATCTCTTATCCTAATATTATAATTTGATAATTTTGCAAAATTCCTGTTTTGCGTACCATTATAAACTAAAATTATAATAATATTGACTTAAGTCTATAAAAAAATTAGTTCATATTAGTCCTTATAAGAAAGACTTTACTATGATATCAAATAGAAATTTTAATTTTAGAAATAAATTTAGAGAAATAACGTCTCAGAATCGACCCCAATCTAGAAATAAGTGAAAATGGATTTCCATTCATCTCTACTAATGAAGATTGGTGGAAAATAGTCCACTCTTACCCTCCAGTAGGGAAACGTTGGTATACGATTATGAGGTTATAACGTAAAAAAAAAAAAAATGATAATCTCCTTTTTTTTTAATATCGATTGAAAAGTATTTAAATATCAGGTCTGTTTAGTTTGGGACTTAAGATGGCTATGATAATATATCCAGTGGTATTTATTTATTAATCAAGAATATATTTCCCCCTAGATCCGTACGTGAAGATCTGCCTCATTTGTCAAGGCAAGCGCATCAAGAAGAAGAAGACTACTGTAAAGAAGAATACACTCTGTCCTGTTTACAACGAGGCACTGGTCTTCGATCTGCCAGCGGACAATGTCTTCGATGTCACATTGCTCGTCAAAGTTATTGATTATGACATGTGAGTAGACTTTTCTTTATTTTTACCTTTCTTTCTTTACTCGAGGGCGGCGCAGTATATTTACTCTTACATTGATCTCTATTAGTCATCATACTTATGCTTAAAATGGTAAATTCAATGATTGATGATGATATGGCTGACGATGAAACCTGTCGATTGCAGAATGAAAAAAAGCTGAAAAAACATACTGAATTTAATATAATTCAAATTAAAAAAAATCCATAAAAAAATTGTTAGGTGGATCTTCATACACTCTCTCTATGAATCAATGGGAAGGGATTGTTAGTAATGGGGATTAATGGCTTCATTCAACATCATCATCATGGTATCAACCTTTAACTGGTGAATATAACCCTCCCCATGTTGGGGGGTTTTGCCTGTCGTTGCCATGCTAGGAAGGCAGGGTGGGAACCCATGGGAAAAGAAGGGGGCTTCATCTTCATAATATTAGTTGACTATATATGATATAAAATACGAAATATAAAAACGGCAAGTAATAATATTGAACGCTTGAAATTCACTTAGCCCTCAAACTATTATCTGGCTATCACACAGTGATTGATATATGAAACCAGATAACGACCATTTGGGGCCTCTAAAGATTCTTTTCAGACGAGACTAGGATCCATTTATAAGAATTCTCTATCTAAATTGATTGACATCTTAATATGAAACAATATAAAATATTGAAGAATAATTTCATCAAACTTAGTTGACATAGATCTAATTGGTTTTAGAAAAGTCTTTTAAAAGAACAACTAAATTTAAATATAGGTTTTTTTAAAGCTATTGAGTAGGTAGAACGAAAGACATTCTATACTAATATTATATGTTAGTTAATAGAAGAAATGAAAAATAATATAATTAACATGAGAATCGATCCTATCTCATGCAAAACAAACGAGATAATTCATAATTAATATTGTTATAATTATTATGTATAATTATTAATAATGTTAATTCATAATTAATAAATAACAATATTATCAATTCATAATTAAAAATGTATATTCTATTTTTCCGTGGGTGTTGTAAGAGATGACTAAGGAAATTTAAAGGTTAAGGGATAGGTTGCAGCGTCCCTCTTAAAACATCACCAAAAGTCTAACTGCGGTTGCCAACCCACCTGCCAAGTGTAGTCACTACTAGTAAAATCCCCCTTAGGTCTGTATTCATCAGTGGATAGTTAACGGCTGATATGAATCAATTAATAATAGTTTACTAGGGTACCTAAAGCGGTTTAATTTTTCATATTCCAATTTTAAATAAAATGTTTCTTTAAAATTTTTTTTTTTACGAGTTCTCAATTTAAAATCAAATACCCCTATTATTTAGAATAATAGAAATATTAATTAATTCATTTACAAATTGCAGTACACTTAGCAAGTGAATATAATACTTACATTCAATGGAATTAGATTGAATATTCCACGTTCACTATGTTTACTTGTACAAAACTCAATAACACAAACAATGCCAGCCGGAAATTAATGTTGACGCCATGTTACATTTCTAGGTAATATTAAAATCAAGAGATGTTATTCTCTCGTAGGATATTAAAACAATTTCCTTCGTGTTATTAGATAGGTGGAATATTTAATAATATTCACGTTATACATTAAATGTAACAAAATTAACACGGGCGTAAAATATTTTTTGATCAAACGGTGGCGCTGTGCTAGTCAATTTGTGATGAATATCTGTGTCTAGACGGAGTGACTATTTTAATTTAAAAAGAAAATTATTTGTGTTCTAATTAAAAAATATGATATATTAAATATTTTTATTTATGATTAGATACTTGATAATGGAATCGTCAAAATCTTCGGTAATATGGTTAAAAACTTACTTTTATTTGCTATGATTCTGTGTATAAAACATTAGATCTTATTAATTAAAAGTACCTTACAAAATATATTTAGATCAAGCGTGCAAATATTAAAAAACAAAGTTACAATAATTTAACTTCTAATATTAAGTAAATGCTATTTAAAAACAATTTTTTTATGAATAAACATTACATACAAGAACATAAGAAAATAATAAAAAAAAAATGAAGGAATAGAATTAAATTTATTATATTTAGTCTATTAATAATAGCAATATGTTTGGGTTAAATTTTCCTTATACTTAGGTTATGGACTATTTGTCCATGGTGCGCAGAATGTTAAGAGTAATTATTTTTAATTAATGCAACCTCTTTATTAGTTTTAGACGAAACACTGTTTCCAAAAAAAATGTCCAATATGGATAAAGATACAGATTTTTATTTAAAATAATTAAAAATACAATATAAAAATAATGAAATGTATTTCATTATTTTTATTAATTAGTAAATTTAAGTATTATATAATTGGTATAAGAATAGGAAGATGATAATGATGGTGACTTGATAATTATTAACTTGATGACAATTAAATGTGAAATGAAATAGAAATATTATTGAAATATGAAATTCATAACCCAACAAAGTGATTGGAAAATTTCGAAATGGGTGGGACTTGATGGATTGTTATTTTCGAATGAGTGTCCAGTGAAGCGGTAATTCGACTGGTAAGAGCCTCAGCATGGAGTAAAAGATAAGGGTTCGCGTCGGTTTCGAAATTTTTCAATCACTTAATAATTATTGAATAATTTGTATATTTTAATAATATTTCAATTAATTGAAAATAATGAGGATTACATTGTAGTTTTATGTTTTTTACGACACTGCGCATCTGTATAAATCTGATACGCCGTTAGTTTCATTGTCATTCCGAAATATAGCTAAAGTAATAAAGAACCAATTAAATGCATCTTTTAAAAACTATATAAATTAATAATTCAGTAACATATACTATACAAATGGAAACTTTTTATAACTGAATAATTTAAGATTTTGTTCAAAGTACAAAAATAACATCAATCGTGAATTAATTAGTATGGAATTAACACCTTATCAATTGCTTAAATAAATAAACAGAACTCGTTCAGGCTTGTTCAAAATATTTTACGGTATTCATAATATAAAGGTTAACAGGGTAATTGAAAAACCTTTTTTTTTTTTAACCGTTGTGAAAATAAGGCTTCAATACATATTGATGATACTTTGAACTTTCCAAAGCAAAATAAATTGATGTAATTAATTTTAACAACATATGACGGCGAGAACATTAAATTATAATCCAACAAAATTTGATCAAAACTAAGTATAACAGATGGATGAATCGATGGAGTGTGAAGGCAAATGCTGGTTTTAATAACAGACTAAAACAATAAGTAACAGCAAAGTTATAAGTCTGTTAATAGTGATGAACAAGTGAAATGTAGCTGAAATTTCCATAGTCATTATATTATCAGATTATAAATGTTGTTTTTGCACCATATATTTTGTGCTTTATTTTATTTTTTTATTTTACTTTAAAAGGGAAACATACAATACCTGAGACATATAAAATTGTATACACAACCATAAGATAAATCAGTAAAGTTTCCACAATACACACACACATATATATATATATACATATACATACATATACATATACACATATATACACACCTAAAACAACACATTTATATATAAAACCTATAGATACTATCTTCTTTCTAAAACCTTTTAAGGGATAAATCCGCCTATGACCATTTTTGTTACAACCTAAGAGACATATTAAAAGTAAATGTACTAATATAAATAAATAAACAGATTAAGAGACATGTTACACTATTAAATATTATAGGATCATATATACGTTATCTATCTTGAAATTACTATAAAGCAGATGAGCATTTGATTGAAACTGGGGACGAGTGTATTTTATCCTATTTTTTCGCATATGGGGTCATTTAAGCCGATGCACGTCGACCCATACGGATCTTTTGTGCTTCCCCCTGCCTTATACCATCATTTCATAGATCCTATGTGTTACCCTAACGATAACCCGCGGTTTAAGGTATCTGTAGTCCCCTGGTTCTGGATAAGCCGTTCCCAGTAGACTCATACGCATACTTGCTAACGAATCGCAGTTGCACATCAAGTGTTCCATGAATTCCGATTTCTCCCCACACAGTCTGCACAGTGTATCCGAAGAAAAACCCATTTTGTGTAGTATATGCATGAGTGTATACTCATTCCTGGATGGATGGGAATTAAATATTACCAATGAATGATGATAGGTTTTTTTTTAAATGTATGATAATGGCATGGTAACCCCGCCTGCGCTATCGGAATACACTGGCGGGGTACCAAGAAGGGATAAATGGTGAGGATGAAAAATCAGGTCAGTTAGTTCATCCTGATGAATTCAAAGATAAATTAGTCACGATAGTTTCCAGGGGAACCGCGTGGAGTACGACCTGATAGGGTGTATTGCTAGCAATGGGTCAGATAGATTCCATTACTAACAATCCCTTCCCCCCAATGATGATAGGTTTTTTTAATGGATGATAATGGAATGGTAACCCCACCCGTGCTAACGGTATACACCAGCGGGGCACAGTGAAGCATGATAGGTGAGGATGAAGTAGGTCAGTTAGTCCATCGTGACGAATTCAACAAGAATTGTTCACGATGGTTTCCAGGGGGAACCGCGTGGAGGTCGACCTAATAAGGCATATTGCTAGCAATGGGGCTGTCAAACTCCATTGCTAACAATCCATTTCCCCACAATGATGATAGGTTAGACTGGAATCAGATCAGTTGTCTCATCTTGAAGAATTCTTCTGGAATCAACCATGATGGTTTCCATCGAGTACTACACGGGCTGACAGAGTATATTAGCGCTGTTAATTCCTATTATTAAGAATCCACATTCTCCAATTGGTAAGGCCATAAACGATATAGCATCGTGGACTTCACAACATGGGGGGTATCACGGGCGAAACAGTATACTATGTTATGTCCATGGTACTGCTCATGTCTATAGGCGATGGTTACCACTTTCCATCAGATGAGCCGTCAGCTTGTTTGCCATTCTAAGTTTTTAAAAAAAAACAGTGAATCCCATAGTACCAATAACACATATATACATACTAAAATATATAATATCTTATTTAATGATGAATCCATTCCTTGAAAAACTAGTATATCTTTTTATATTATTATATTAATATGGGGGAGGCTTATGTCCAGCAGTGGACGGGTAATGACTGAAATGATGATGATGATATCAGTTGTTAACTGTCCACTGCTGAACATAGCCAGCTTTGTTCAGCAAGTTTTGGCTAACTTTGCCAGTAGTTGCCGAGCTTGGCAGGCGGATTGGCAAACGCAGTTAGGCTTTGGTGATATTTTAAGAGGGACGCTGCTGGCTATCCCTTGACCACTGAGTTCCCTTAGTCGCCTCTTACGATAACCACGGGAAAAATAGGGATGGCCCATGGCAAATAGCAATCAGAACTAGTATTAGTATTTATTAATAGTTATTTTTATTTTCTAGAAAAAAAAAACAGGTTATACTTTTTTAAAGAGAATTTAATTTCTTTAGTCATCGGTAATATAAAATTTTTTGCTTTTCAAAATTGTATTAGTAAACGATTCACAATTTACTAAAGTCAGTGATACATTTTCAACATGAATAAAATGTTTTATAATAATTTATATACAATAGAATTTATTTATTGAACTAACTTATTATGTTCCCAATAAGAATTTATTATTTTAACATTACATATTTGATAGTGGAATATACCCTTTTTGGAAGAGATAATAAGGCTCTATTCGTGTTCATTGGTTTCATAATATGATATAAAGGTTGCGCAAATCAATCATTGTCAGACTATTGTATCTATAAAATATACATTAGTGAAGTTTTGAAGCCGTGATGGATATATCAAAAGACCGAAAAGAGATTGTTTCCACTAATATTATGAGATGTATTATATTCAAGAGTGGATTTTAAAGGGGTTCAAAGTAGATATGGATAATACACATCATGTAACGTATGTGCCAATTTTTCTTTTTGAATAACTGCCTTTACCTACAATGTTTGTATCTATTAGGTACTTCAAGTTTTTTTTATATATAATTTAGAATTTGACGGCGCACTTGATGGAAAGTGGTAACCGTCGCCTATATGAACAGTACCATGGACATAACGTATACTGTTTCGCCCATGATGCATTTAATACCCAGTAAATTCACGTATCCCACCCTTATATTTCTAAATATATGTAATTGCAATTGACTTTTTACAGTCTGGTGTAATTGGCTTTTTGTCTTTACGTCTTTACTGTTGTTTTTATAATCACATTTTTAGAGCTGTTGGTTGTCTTGAAAAAAAAATGTGAATATATAATTTAATTAATTAATAAAATTAGAATATCTGTATATTATCGGATATATTAAATAAAGGTAATTTAAATGAACATAAGAGTAGATATCGAACCGCTATGGGCGATATTGTAATAGGTAATGACTTATTTTTTGCTTTTAATATACAGAAGAAATCGATTATAGATAGTGGTACCTATATTACCCATGTTTGGTTTAAAATGACGTCAGAAGAAGGAGATTCTTAATTCGTCTGTATTTTTCTTGTAAGTGTGATTATTACGTGATATTTTAGTCATTTTCACGCCGATTTCTATGATTAAGATTTCAAACTAGAGGTTTTAATATAGACCTAGAAGTTTATACTGTAAGATAATGTTAAAAAAAAAACAATAGTGCTTTTAAATGCACACAGTATATAATAAAATTTACTCTTATATATATAAAGTAAATTTTGTCGAATGCAAAAAATGTCGAAACAAATATAGAAATAATAAAGTTATCGCGTATTGTATAGAAAAATTCAGAACCTCGTTTTTTTTTAAGTCAATAAAAATAAAAATGAGGAAATAAAAGACCGAGAAATAACTACATGAGACAGATAAAGGAAATACTAGACGATATCTAATGTCGTATATGGAGGTCAAAGATATGGCGTGGAATAGAGCTAGCTGGAAGAAAATGCATGAATTATTTGCACCGACAAGATAAATCTCTTAAATAAAAAAAGAAAGAGATAATTGTATTATTAATGTCTTTTTTTTGACAGGATCAGTCCAAACGAGCTCATAGGCTGCACAGCTATAGGGTCAAGTCTGATCGGCATTGGCCGAGACCATTGGCTTGAAATGCTGGATAATCCTCGCAAGCCAGTCGCCCAGTGGTACCCCCTGAACAAGAGTCCACCAGCTAACGTCGTTCTGCCCTCGAGCGATCAGCAGAGTGTCGCATTGAACTGCTTAAACGGAAGGTAATGTAAATGTACCCATTTATTTTCACGCTAAGATGGTTACGAGGTTAGCAGAGAAACTGAGTGCCGAAGGTCTCTAGGTGCATCTCAATTATTCGTTTAATTTCTATAATACTCTTAAATTTTTATATTTCTTCTCACGTACACCTAGACGCCAAGTTTTGGCCATTTTTTATGGTACTATGGCGATAAACAAGCACACGGCTCGTCTGATGGTAAACCTTAGTTTGTAGATGCTTGCAATACTAGAGGTGTTGCACGCGCGACTTTTCCAACACCAATCTACAGGATACTAGTGATCGTCCTATTTAATCCTTACTAATATTATAAATATGAAAGTGAGTTTGTTCGTTACGTTATAGCGCCTTAACAGCTTAACCAATCACTATGAAATTTGATATACACTTAGTATATGGGATGGAAAAGGACACAGTTAACATATCAGTCACGCGGACGAAGTCGCGGCTAAAAGCTAATCACGGTATGTCAAAAATAATGTCAAAGATATTAAAAAATTGGGACATTTATTACTTAGTCATATTTAGATACCTGAATGGATTTGAATGAGACTTGGTACAACGATGGACCATATTCTAAATAAACACGGGAGGGTATTTTTATTCTATTATGGATCGAGATAATCCTTTGGTTGCTAATTTATCTTGCAATTTCTTTATACTACATCAGTTTTTAATTCTATTTTATTCATAATTACGTGAAAACTATTTAATCACAGAATGCTTATTTAACTTACTACAAAGCAAAAATAAAATTTTATTTTGCACCAAATATTGCATTAATTGCATGAATTTAAACTATTTATTCTTATCAGCCGTTGACTGTCTACTATTGAACATTGGTCTTCCCATAATGGGGGTTTATTTATTTATTTATTTTTTGTTTATTGCACAATAAAACTTTGTATAAGTAGCGAGCTTAATGCCATATGGCATTCTCTATCGGCTAACCATTAGGTAAAAACAGAAAGCGTATGAAGGGCAGATGTGGTGAAAATTATGTGATATAATTATTTATTTATTTAAGGACAACAAATAAACATACATTTATATCTACTTGAAATACAACATAATAAGGTTACAAAATAAAATGCTGCCTCAATTAAAGGCCGCCACGACACGCATATTCGCGTGAATTTACAGGGTACAGAAGAATAACATCTGAGTCCTCAGGAATGGCAACGCATGGGAGGTATCATGGGCGAAACAGTATACTCTGTTATGCCCATGGTACTGCTCATGTCTATAGGCGACGGTTACCACTTTCCATCAGGTGGGCTGTCAGCTTGTTTGCCATTCTAAGTTGTATAAAAAAATATATATTCATATTATATATTAACTATTAGGATGAAAAATGATAAAAACTACAATATTAAGTATACATTAAATAGTCACACTACGTAATACTTTGAATTTGAAAGATTTGTACACTTATAATTTATACATACATATATTTTTTTTTTTTTTTTTATTTATTTATTTATTTAACAAAGTATGTTTGTATTAGCACAGAATTTATCATTGCCTCCTACACTAGGCTGAGCCTGTCCTGTAGGAAGCAGTACTCGTGTTTGCATATACATGCATATAGATATTAAACAGGCTTTTTAGCAGTACTCACAATTGTGTAACTAATCTGTATAATACAAATATTTTATTTATTTATTTTTTCTTTCTCTCACCACCAATACACATGTATAAATAAGTATTATGAATGAGTGTGTGTGCATGCGTGTGTGTGTGGTGTGTGTCTCTCTGTGTGTGTGTTTGTGTGTGTGTGTGTGTGTGTGTGTGTGTGTGTGTGTGTGTGTGTGTGTGTGCGTGTGTGTGTGTGTGTGTGTGTGTGTGTGTGTGTGTTTGTATGTATGTGACCAGTATTTTCATTTATATGATTAACAAGAGCATGTTTTCAGTATCGTCATAATTCATAGATTTCAGATGTTCGCTTACTTTTGATTTTGTTTCTTTTAGGGTGCAGTTCTTTAGATTGTAAATTTTGCAAAATTTATTATATATGAATGGGATCATGCAAGAAGAGAAGCGTCTGGCAAAACTAGTTTTAGTAGTAGGTGTAGGGAGAGTGTAAAAACGCTTGTTTGAAGCCTTAGGGTTATTCAGTGACTTTTGGATTATGCTGTGACCAATAGTTATAATTTTGAAAATATACAGTTTACGAATGCTTAAGACCTTTGCGTCATTAAATAAAGAAGCTGTTGAATATCTAAAAGGCTTTTTGAACATGACCTTTAATATAGAACGCTGAGCTCTTTCTAGTTTCAGCAATATGATCTTAGCAGCAGATCCCCAAACTCGGATGCAATAAGTAAGTACTGACTGACACAGCGCGACATAAACATTTCGGAGTAAGGATGGATCCATCACGTCTCTGAGGATTCTCATGGTGGGAATAAGTTTTCTTACTCTGGCAGACATATAGTCAATGTGTTGCTTGAAAGTAAGTTTCTCATCTAATACCATCCCTAGATACTTTACAGTTGGAGAGTTCTTAATAGTGTCACAGGAGCACGTGTTAGAATGGTATATCGGATTTGTAACACTAGGAGTAATAGCCATACACATGTGTATCTTGATATCTGGAACGGAGAACGGCCTTGAAGCTTTAGTTTTATAAAAGCATACATATTTCGTTTTTAAAGTATTTATTGTCAGTAAATTTTTGTTTAACCATGTAGCAACTAAAACCAAACCTCTCTCAACGTTCAAATAACATTCGTTCCAATTATTACCATGGAATATAATAGCTGTGTCATCAGCATAACAAGTAAATTTTGCGTTGATTAATGGGGTTAATAGTAAGTCATTAATATAACAAAGAAAGAGCGTAGGACCCAAGATACTACCCTGTGGTACACCAAAACAAGTATTCTCAAAATGACTAGTGTGATCATGCACTTTAATACACTGCTTTCTATTCGTTAGGTATGAATTAAACCACAAAAGTGGTTTGCCTCTAATTCCCAAACCTTCCAATTTTCGCAAGAGTATAGGAATTGACACGGTGTCAAATGCCTTTGTCAAGTCAAGGAACACTCCGACACACGCCTGACCTTCATCGAGGTGAGAACAAATATTATTAGTGAGAGAGCTCACAGCATCTTCAGTGGATTTACCACGGCGAAAGCCAAACTGTGCGTCTGAGAAAGCTCTGTTTGTTTCAAGGTATTTGACTAATCTTTTGTTTACGATTTTTTCTAAAAGTTTGGAGAAAGTAACCAACAGAGATATTGGACGGTAATTATTTACTGAATTTTTATCTTCGCCCTTGTGTATAGGAGTAACAGTGGCGATTTTCCATTGATCAGGAAATTCACCGGAAGCAATACTCAAATTGAAGATCGCAGAAAGAGGCTCGTTTATATATTGTCGAACTGTTTTTATCAGAGTATTTGCAAGTCCATCAATACCAGGTGCACTTTTTTCATTAAGTAATTGTATGAAAGAAGAAACTTCGAATGGGTCAGTTGGTTGGAAATAAAAAGAATGAGGAGATGGATATGAAAGTTTCACTCCAGATGCCAGAGAGTCTTGTGTTTCATTTAATAGTGACATAGTTGTATGAGCAAGGTTTTGACCGACAGTTGCGAAAAAGGAATTACAATAATTGAGGGATTCTACTGGATCACTTTTTATTGTAAGTAGATTTTTTGCAGTACTCTTTTTAGTATTTTTATGAATTATTTTATTAATACTATTCCAAAGAGGTTTAGGTTTATTTATATTTTGCTGAATTAATCCACTTTCGTACTCCCTTTTCAAACGTCGCAGTAGGGAATTATAAAAATTTCTATATTTAATATATGTAGACTTCTTTATCGGATTGTCAGGATGTTTACGTGAATCAGAGTATGCGATATATGAATATATGCGATAATACATGCCATGCTGTTAATAAGCTGATTAAATTAAACTATAGAATTTATACAAAGTGGTTTTGAGTAACATACTGAAATAATTATACATAATAATACATAAGAAATACACATACAACACATAAACACTATTTATAAGATAGATACTCTTTATCAAAAGATATATATATATATATATATTACAAGAAATAATCACAATGAGAAAATATATATATATATATATATATATATATATATATATATATATATATATATATATATATATATATATATATATATATATATATACACACACACACACATATATATACACATATACAGACATATGTGTATATGTATGTGTATGTATATATAGGGTTGATGCTACGAATCTCTCGACCATGAAGTTCTCTTAGTCACCTCTTACAATACCCGCGAATAAAGAAGGGGTGGCCCAATCTATGCCTGGATTACACGGCGTTTTATTAATTACGGAAAATTATTTATTAATACATATGCCGATAGTAATATAATCACGTCATAGAACGGTTGAATGAACGAGTGATTAATATAATCTAAGAGAGAGATTAATGATTACATTAATCGCATTTACACAATTCCAGGAAGAAACATCTTACATTAGTTTTTACGTCCGCTTTACCAGGATTTTGTACGAAACTCTGAATGCCAAACAAGTTAACGGCCAACCTGATGAAAAGTCATGTCGATCGTTTATTAACAAGAACAAAATTATGGACATCACAAAATATACTGTGCCGCTAATTATGCCCCTCAGATTTTGCTATTTCTGCAACTAAGATTTTATGCCTTCATGTCCTGTAATTTCACATTCATAAATTAATCTACAAACTCATTCGTAGCTATGAAAGCACAGTTGCTTAGCGGTAAAAACACTTACCATCAGACGGGTCGTATCAAGATCACACTTTAGTCACAAAAAATGTGCTATTAACTTATTCCATTTATCTTAACCGTTGTGGCTAACAAGACAACAGTTCTAAAGGGCTTTATTTTATCTTTTAGCTAATGACAGTGACCTGTTTCTCAAGGAAATGCTAATTATTCGACTCGTTTAATCCTCGTAAAATAACAAGCTGTTTTTTATCTTTATTTTACTAATTTGATGTAAAAATTATGGAACAATTAGCACTCGTTTCGTTTAACATAAAGGGTGCTCTGATTTTTAATGCACCCATCCATTACAGTTCGTCCAATTTAATAACTTTTTAAGATGTTTTGATGTTTGTTACTCGATTACGCTTAAACTGCTGAATGGGTTTGTTTGAAATTTGGATGAAGGACTATAATCTAGATTATCTTTTAGGATTCTTGAGAAAAACGCAGCGGGATATAGCTAGTAAATTAATAAGTAGTGCCCCCTTAATTATACCGAGCAATGTATAACAAAATAGCGTATCTAGGTCTCCCCCGGTATTTACATCTATCCATCTTCGCATCGAATCTATACAGGATGTAAGGTTTATTCCTTTTTTTTTCATTTAAAATTATGTAATCCATGATATTATGTCATAATATAAATTAATAATATTGTGAAATACTAAGAATAAAAAAAAATAGCAATGTAATATTCATATTAAAAACCTATCTCGACGTGCGGAACCAGTTGTGCGAGGTCAACGCTACGAGCGTATAAAAACTAACTACGAAGAAGCACCACTGACCGCGCTTTGTAGGTATCTCGCGTCGTATGGATCGCAAAATTTCAAATACATTGCGTGGCATCAAAGCTAAAAATCGGTAATTATATGACTATGGTACATTTCCGGTGGGAAAATAATTTGCCATATGATTCAGACCACTCATCTGAATCAGCTGTGTTCGTTTTGTCCTGTCCTGTCCCTTCCACCCTGTATAGTTTATATCCGCGATATTGTCCGCGTGACCGGAATATTTTTACTAACCGGAATAAATAGTAGCCTATCTTCTTCATTCTTCATATTATGCGTATATCAAACTTCATAGCGATCGATTAGTTAAGGAGCTATTAAGTAAAAAACAGACAAACCCACTTTCATATTTATAATATTAGTAAGGAGTGTAATAACAATGTACTCATAATCTCTTTCCTATTTCAGATGAAGAGACGGAATGGCGAAACGTAAAGTGTTATACGAATAACTAGTACGGCGAAGTATCTTGTTGATTAAAATCAAGGTGATAGTACCATCGACTAAACGCTCTCAAGATGCCAAATTATAGCTGAACGTAGGAGATAACGGTTGTATGTCCATTTATCGTAGACGAGTCAAAATGAATGTTACGTGATATTGCATGCAGATTTAAAACTAGACTAGACGTTTATATGTTCGAGTAGACAAAAGAATCTAACAATTAGAAAAAAAGTTTGTTTATCAATGATGGCGTATTGTTTCTAATAGGCGTAGTGTTTGATTATATCCGTATAACAGTAACAATCACGGTACATTTTCCTTCTTTATATGTGTGGGTAATATACAGCAAATATCCATATATTGTACTTACAATATCTGTGTATTGATTCAAGAACAGATATTTTAAATATCGATCATTGAATATATAATATCAAGTTGAAGAACACGATCGAAACGAATATATGTAGATATTTGGGCGGTATAGGTGACTTCGAAATGGGTGGATGAACTTTTTTCCACCATCAGTATATAGATGAACCTAATATATAGATATCGGAGGGATATCGATATTACCCATGCCTACTTCTTTATAAACGTTTTGTGAACTCCCTATTTTGTTACTTCAAATTGTTCTCTCTTGTATACACTGTTACTTCTATACACTTTACATTTATATTGTACTTGTATATCTATATACGCACATTTCAAATTCAAGACTTGATCGTATCATGTACATACATAATTATCATAAATGTTGTATAATAGTTGTTGTCTTTTACAATGTATTTGGTATATATATAAAAAAAAATATATTAACTAGTCGCTATTGTACTTCGAGATAAGTGTCATATCAACTAAAAAGTATTACAAATTGTAAAATGCATTTTATGAAAAATCAATTCTACACTTGCAACAATTTAAAAGGTAGAAATAATAAAAAAAAAAAAAATACGGTGAATGTTTCAAACATTCTTTTAGTGTCGGACAATAATGTAGACGGGCTTTGCGCAATGAAATACATACAATTTATTATTATAATAACAAGCGGCAAATATGGCCGTATTTAATATATGTACAACAGGAAACTTGATTTTAATTAAATGCACAAATACATGGAATATATTCGTTCAATATATTACATTTTTTGTAATATGAAATGGAAGCTTTAAATCGTGTTAAAATTTAATATAAATATTTAAAAAGAAATTATCGGAGATGTAATCAGCTAAGCTGTTAATGTTATGGTTACTATGTTTTATAAGAATGTGTATTCAATTTTATTTGCTGGAAATTAAAAAAAAAATAGTTTGCAACATTATTAGGCAATCAACTCTGTAAACAATATAACTAGTGTTGGATGAGTTATTAAATTATTATAGGCATTAATATTTTTATATTATAAATAATAATGTCCCTGTATAATCCTCGTACCTAACTTACACTTTGAATGTATAAATCTGGTAAAAATACAGAAAATAAAAATTTTAAATGCATACTGTAACTCTTATGATTATTTTAATTAATTTTTATTTTTATCTCAATCTTAGAAGGGTTTTCATAAGGGCACCACATAATATGTATAATTAAATTACCACATTTAATTAGAATAATATTCCATAAGGATAATATTCTGATAGCGTTGTTTTGAATTCTTAGAAAATGGGATTGATGAAGATTGTTTTAAAAGAAAATTGTGATGGATGTTAAAATATAAATTAATTGTACACTTGATTTTTATAAATAAAAATAAGAAGAACTATTAAAAAATTAAATACAAGTTTTAACAAAAAAAAATTTATAATAATTAAATGCACTTTTATTATATTTATAATTAAAATTGAAAATACATATTCGCACATTATCTAAGTATTAAGGATTTCCTAAAAATCAAGTGATCATTCTTTTTCAAAACAAAAATATGACTACCACTGAAGTTTGAAATATTATAATATTATCACATTAGTAGTTATAATGAAAATTTTTTATTTTATATCAAATTTGCTTGGAAAAAATCTACTTCTTTCTAAAAAGGGGATGAAATTTTTTCTATACTTAAATCAAAATAATAAAAAAAAAAGCATGAAGGAAAGTTATCCAAAATTCATAATTTGTTATTAATTAATAATGCAGAATCTTATTTTTTTTTAAACGAAAATTTGAGGCAACGGAAGTGCAAAAATTTTATTTCTTATTCTTAAAAAAATATCAATTAACAAATTGGCTAAAATGAGTTGTAAATCAGGGAAAACGCTCAAGATATAAATAATTGTAATAAATAATTAATAATAAATTATTAATGATTTAAAATCATAATAATTAGTTATGGTATTAGGCCGGCAGCACACCTGCAATGCCTCTGGTGTTGAGTGTGATCATGGGCGGCGGTAGTCACTTACCACCAGGTGAGCCGCATGTTCGTTTGCCTCCGTCTTATAAATATAATAATTAATTATTAACTATCACCTTTTATAATAATTTAAATATAAACAATTAAATAAGTGTTTATATTATAATTTCCTCGGTGGTGGTAGTGGTAGTGGTATAAAGCATTATGCACTTGTACATGTCATTCAGAAAAGGTTCGATCCCCAATTCGTGTGGTTTTCTAGCTTGTGATTGGGTCATTTCGGACACTTGTTAGAAATGAATCATTCTTTTTCTCAGTGTACAATGCATATTACTCTGTAGTATTTCATACTGAATTTTAAATTTATTTGTCTATTGAAAAAGTAATTTTTGGTTGTATCTTGAAAGCCATGTTGTCAACTATTGTCTATGACTTGTTAGGGGTTCTTGTGGAAGAAGTAATAAGGATAAGAATAGAAAAAACAGTCGAAGGTTCTAGTTCTGATAGAGGGTAATTTTTTTATCTAATAATTATAGGAGACTAACATTTTAGATTTATTACATATTTACGAATACAAATTACTGTATCTGAAATATTGAGAATATACTAAATACCTATCTTTATTATAAAAAAAATCAATAAACATATTTATGTAAATTTAAATGATAATATATTTAAAATTAAAATAATTATAATTAATTTTATAATGTGCAATTATAAATTATCATATTTATACTTGTTTAATTTAGAACACCTGTAAGAATTGACAAGTAAATTAAAGGAAATAACAGTACAAGAGTTGGTTGCATGAGATGTAATATTTTTGTATGAGAATAGGGTAAGAGTTGTACTTAATATAATGTTCTTTATACTGTAACACTAAATAAGTCAATGTAAGTTACATTATACTGATTTACGAATAAAATGTTGACATTTTTATCTATTCTTTTATTTTTATTAACTTTAACAATTTGTTATTTTCATGTATTTAGTGTAGAAGTATTTATGACCATTGGTTTTTCGTTTTTACTCCGTAAGACACTGGACTAAAAATGGTTTGAATTTTTAAGCGAGTTTTAAGAAAATAAAATTTTCAATTCGATTGAATTTTTTGTATATATGTTTAATCGTAAATTAGTCAATGTTATATCAATATTGATGATTTTTACGAAAATGAAATACAACCATATATTTATATAACCATATATATTCCCAATACAGCGATATATTTATATATTTAAGAATTTAAATTGATTCAACTAAGTATATTGAAAATTTGATCTTATATTTATTTTAAAAATGTAATTAATATGATCTCTTAGATTTCATAATGGTATAAAATGTATGGCATATTCCACAGATAACCACATGAAAATGTGTAAATTTTTTAATTCAGACATGATTTTAGGAAATGACATTTTTAGAATTAACCTAATAAGTTACAATGCTCCATGACACATAGATGTCAATGAATTAAAAGCAAAATCCCTCGAGAACAAAAATAAGGGTGTACCTTCATTAGGACTAGGTAGCAACCCATATCGTATACTCGTATTGGTTATTAGTGTGCTATTAATAATGTAAGTCGAAGGTATACATTTTGAGAAATAAACCATTGGCTTCGTTAGCAACTAAATTCCTTATCAGACTATCTTCTCCGTCAAATTAATTGCCTATCATTTCAGATATGTTACGTATATGAGTAACTTTATAATTATTTATATCATGTATAAGATTTTGACCTTCAGTATTATTAATAATTAGGAAGTAAACGTGATTTTGTCTAGAAGTTTTTATGATGTGCTACATTGTGTTTTAATCGTAAAGCAGTTATGTTTGTATGGCTGTGTTTCAGTTTGAAGGGTGGGATATGACGTGAATTTACTGGGTATGGAGGAATAACACCTGAGTCTTCAGGAATGGCAACGCATGGGGGGTATCATGAGCGAAACAGTATACTCTGTTATGTCCATGGTATTGCTCATGTCTATAGATGACAGTTACCGCTTTCCATCAGGTGGGCCGTCAGCTTGTTTGCCATTCTAAGTTGTTTAAAAACAAACTATTATAAGTACTGGTGTTAATATTTACCATCGTCATTATATCAGCTATTATCTCGCAATATTATTCGCCCTAACTTCGAAATAGGTGTTAATTTTTTTATTAATATTTCTTATTATATTTATGGGTATACCTATATAGTTGATTACACACTTTTATGAGTAAACCGACTTTAAAAAGGGGGGAGTTACGAAATTTTCGTAAAATTTAAAAATATTTTAATATTCTTGTATCGGTTCCATATTAGTTTTGTCTTATTAATATTGTTCTTTTTTATGTGTATAAAAATTTAAATGGTAATAAAAATTACCGATGTCAAGTCTTCTAGTAGCGCGTCAAAATTTAGCCTTTACGTATGCAGAGAAACTTGTATTCGGTAGATAAGTAATTAAGAGTAAAAAAATATATTCTTATATTTTACTATCTTTATTTTATCTGACCATAATTATAGGAATAACTATATATATAAATATAAATATAAATTATTATAATATTATAGATTTCAAATTGATTTTAAATGTGATTTAAATTGTGAAAATTTGAAATATAAATTAATTTAATTTCATATTAATTAAATAATGAACTATTGAAATACAATAATTTAATGAAACATATAATTATTATAAATTGAAGTTCGTAACATAAATATTTAAGAAATAAAATACCCTTGAGTAAATTATTAAAAACTATTGTTAAAAACTAATTTTCAATTAACTTGTAATTTGTTATCTAAGTTTATAAAAGTACAATTGAGTAACAAATAACAGAACTTGAAAAATAACAATGAAAAAATATAAATAAAATTGCTGTCATTATCTTTATAGGTAGAATTTATTTAAAATTTGGTATGTCTATGGCTAACCCAACAATCATGGTATAAAACAGGAGGTTCTGGAGGTTATGACCCTCAGTTTCAGCAGACGACCATTATCCTATTTATTACTATTGTGTGGTGGCTACTTGCACACACACTCACACACACACACACACGCACACGCACACACGCGCACACTCACACGCACACGCACACGCACACACACACACACACAAAATGACTGTTATCCTTACAAGGGATTAGGACACAGGTATGCATACATAAACATACACACACACACACACACACACACACACACACTTGCTTGCTTTTTTATAATAAAAGATCAGATGAATGACGTGTCAGAAGACAGATTATATAGAGTAAAAAGTTTGGAATTTATTAATGTAGTTTACCGAAGTTATACGCCTTGAGTGTCTTTGCGTCCCCATTGCAGAACCAATGGGCATTATAATTTTAAATAAACAAGAAAAACTTATACTTTAGTTGAATTCTCTTACTAGTTCGTGCTACTTATATGTTTCAGACATTATTTATTTATAATGATTCATCATCATAGCAGCTATTAACTGACCATTATTGAATATAGGCCTTCTCCATTTTTCCTAGTAGTTGCCATGCTTGGCAAGCGGGATGGCAACTGCAGTTAGGTTTTTGGTAATTGTATTAAGAGGCACCTTAATAGCCTCTTAGAACATGTCGCTATCTCATTCTGTCTCCTGAATTCGCTAACGATGACGATTCCATCAATGGATTTGCTTGTCACTTGTCCAAACGGCCTCAACCTTAAGTTGATGAATATTTTGCATATAAAAACGTTTTACAAATAATTTTTAAAAATATGTAAAATAATATCCTTCAACTATTTATATTATATGTATGAAAGTTTGTGAAAATATTTATATGTATTTTACTCAGTCACGTGTAAACGGCTGAACGGATTTGAATTAAATTTGGTACACGGATAGGTAACATTGTTTACACATAGAATATTCTATATATGTTTATGCAGGCATGAAAAATAGCTAGCTTGTTATAAGAACGGCTTTAACCACGAGAAAATAAATTAGAACTTAAGGTACTTAAAATAATGCCTAATAAAGTGAACATCATGAAGGTTATGTCTTAATTTAATACATAGAATACATCATATTTAAAGCTGTAGAAAAAGGTGTAAAATGAAAATTTAAAACTGTGGAAAGATCAAGAAAATTTAACTTTGAAAACTTTACTAAGCACTCCGTTTTTAATTCTATACACAAATGTACCATCTTTATGGTTAAACAATTTCGATTCACACTTTAATCTCTGTTTAATCTAATCTCCAACAAAATGTTAGATCAAACCAGCCTTACTTTCCAATTAAAACGGAACACCGCAAATGATCTGTTTTTTCGAACTTCACCCATTTCGGCTAACAAGAAACATCTTTCGAGAAGAGTAATGAACACTTTGACACCAGAGTTGTATCTAACGAGCGGGACTCTGTAACTGGATACTACGTCGTATTTGTCCGCTTAAGACCTCGTCATATTGGTTAAAGTGAAGGTACGAAAATAGTGGCGTTTTATTTAATATGATACCACGATACGTCGTAGTCAACAGATATGCTCTTGAAGCTAATCAATATTTATTTATAACTGGGATAATAAATCAATAAAAATCTATAATATATAATAACATTTTCTTTTTGTCCTACCATACTGGCTTATCTCGTTTTATTAATATAGTACATACTATTATAAGTATATATATATATATATATATATATATATATATATATATATATATATATATATATATATATATATATATATATATATATATATATATATATATATATATATATATATATATATGTACAAAAGTCGTTTGCTTGGGCACCTCTGTTCCATACGTGTTTCTACCGTGAAGCAGTTATGTTTGCATGGCTGTGTTTCGGTTTGAAGGAATGGCATGGCTATGGCATCGATATGACAGTAAATTTATAGAATACAGAGAAATAACACCTGAGTCCTCAGGAATGGCAACGCATGAGAGGTATCATGGGCGAAACAGTATATTCTGTTACGTTCATGGCACTGCTAATGTCTACAGGCGACGGTTGCTACTTTACATGACGTAGGCTGTCAGCTTGTTTGCCATTTTTAGTTGCATAATATAAAAAATAAATAAAAATATTATATTTATTAATAAGAGGTATGTAGTATTATTATTAGTAAATACAGCTAAGTAGAATAACGAAAATAGCTAAATAATAAATAAAATATTTCATTAATTATTTTCTTTATTTATTTATTTACACACAATCACGTATATCGGGCGAACTTAACGCCTGACGGTATCCTCTACCAGTCAACCGTTACGCGAATCAGAGGAAGAGTAAAAGACGGTGCATTGAATTAATACAATCAATTTATATCGAGAAACAATTTTTATTTATTCTTGGTAACGAATCAATCGACCGAACGATGATTGATCGATCTACTTGTCAAATTCAATGATATATTTAGGCAATATTGAAAAGAACGAGTGGTCTGAATTTTGTTGAAATGTTATTCGATTATGTTACCAATTCAGGACCGATTTTCACAACTCATCCCGTAATCAGTTGGGTTATATACTTGTTTATTTATTTAGGGGCTACCCGTGACTTCGTCCGTATGACTGGGATATATGTATTTACTGATTGGGATATTTAATTGCGATTATTTATTTGCATTAAACTTGGTTACATTAAATGTTCAGTGGTTTATACTTCGAGATACATGTTTCACCAAAATACTGATATGCAAAACTTATTAACCTAATTATTTTATACATAAAAGAGTTATGTCAAAATTAAATAATGAATATCGGAGTAAAATAAATGTTCATTATTAATATTATTATTTAAACAGTTAAGATAAAATATCAAACCAATATTCATAATAAAAAATAAGGTCTCTTGCCAGTTTGTTTTGTTTTTTCCGTTCTGTTTTGTTTTGTTTATCGTTATTAATATTATTATTTAAACAGATAAGATAAAATAAACTAACATTCA